TTTTTGAATTCTTTGTGATCGGAATTACTGTAATGCCGAAAATCCAATGCCGATAATACCAAATTCAAAAACTTATCGAATTCGGCCGAAATATTTTTATCAGTTGTAAAACAATAATTATAGCTGTTTTCATAAATTCTGGGACAACTGATAAAAATTGATCGGCAGATAAGCTTTTGAATTCGGTGTTATCGTTATCGGATTACTGTAATGCCGAAAATCCAAATTCCAATAACACCAAATTCAAAAATTTATTGCCAAATTTTATCAGTTGTCCCAGAATTTTATGAGAACAGCTGTACGTAATAATCAAGTGGTATTGTTGCAATTTCCTTTTTGAATTTCGGCACCTATCTATAGTTGCGCTTCAACTAATAAAGTCAAATATATACTGATCTATATACGTACGTATATAGTTCCTTAATGATTTATATTTATAAATTTTTGAGTTGCACAACGTATATTTTTAAAATCTATAAAAAAAAAAGTTGTATGTAATACTTATAATTAAAAATTTTTTAATTAACAATTGGAAAATTAGTGCATATTTTATTACAGTAAGATTTGATTTTTTTATTATTTACACTTTACAGAACTAAACAATCGCAATGCGTATTCATAGAGTAGTTAGACTTTAAAAACAGCAAATTTATAATATATTAAAATTAGTAATAATCATATCCTGATCCGTTGGGAAACGAAATAATGATCGGGGGATTATTATTTTTAAACCTAGCTACGTACTCTATCAGTATTATAAATTTCTTAACTTTGTAAATATTTAAAGGGGACTAATTTTTATACCCCTATTTATTATTCATACTCCCTAACAAAATAAAAACTTTGAGCAAAGATTTCTCAACAACTACCTGATAAAATTCGATGAAATTTTTTTTTATTTTGATACTATGAGTCTAGAGATTGGAATCGAACCTTTAATTCATTGAATATTCGATTTAAATTTAGATTCGAATTAAATTCGAATATTCATGCGTAAATTTCACATGAAAAATAGTTATATATGCAGGGTAGCTGTTATATATGCAATACACTGCAATATAGCCATTATATAACTGTTATAACCATTACGTAACTATTATTATAACAGTTATGGCAGTTATAGCAATGGTCATTAATAGATAGAATTAATTATGCGAATCAATCAATAAATTCGAATTTTATATGAATTAATATGAATCATTCGAATTAATTCGAATTCAAATTAAATAAATTCAAGTCTACAAATTATGTTTGATTCCCCCAATCTCTAGTCCAGAGGATTCAAATAAAAAGAAATTATCAAATTCGGTTGAGCGATTGTCAAGATATCTTCGCTCAAAGTTTTAAAAAACTCAAAACGTCTATCAAATAATTATATTAAATTGCTTTAAAACTTTAAGCAAAGATACCTTGACAACCACTTGATCAAATTTGATGGTTTTTTTATTTGAATTCTATGAGTCTGAGTCTAGAGAATTCAAATAAAAAAAAAAATCATCAAATTTGATCAAGTGGTTGTTGAGATATCTTCACTTAAAGTTTTAAAAAAAATTTGGCGTAGCTTTTTTATTTTAATAGGCATTTTGAAAATTTCAAAACTGAGTGAAGATATCTCGACAACGACCTGATTAAATTTGATGAATTTTTTTTTATTTTGATTCTATGAGTCTAGAGGATTTAAATATCAATTTGGTCAAGTAGTTGTCAAGATATCTTGGCTCAAGTTTTAAAGAAATTTATTTTGATAGGTGTTTTGAGTTTTTTTAAAACTTTGAGCAAATATATCTCGACAACCACTCAACCAAATTTGATAAATTTTTTTTAATTGAATCCTCTAGACTCATAAAATCAAATAAAAAAAATTTCATCGAATTTGATCAAGATATCTTCACCCAAAGTCTGTTTTGTTGGGGGTATGAATAATAAATATAGGGGGTATAAAAACTAGCCCCATATTTAAATATCAAAAATTTTAATAAAAATGTGCTTTAATTTTCGATAGCTATAAAAAAAAAACATATATCGATATTGTGCAATTAAACAAAAACCTTAAATTTATAAGTATATATTAATCAATTTATATATTTAAATCATAACAATCGCTTGATTTTACGTATTCAATTCGGATTAGATGTTTATTATGTTTATTTTGGTTATACGTAGAATAAAAATACTTACGTACGTACGTATAACGATAACTGTAAAGTAAAATGAGTGCAGTACATATTGTATGAAATGTAACAATGGAATATAGAAAAGTGCCTTAATCTATCGGAATTAAAAGTTTACTACGTATCGATATCGATATCGTTATCACAATTAACATCAGCCAATCATATTTGATGATCATCTGACGTAATAGCCAATAAAAAAAGAACTTCTACTACAATTAATTCTAACAAAATTGAGTAATTCTGAAATGACAAATTCTGATAACGAGTGCTTTTTGGGTGGAAAGGTAAATAAATTCGTAAAATATATCCTTTGGGATTGATTTTGTATGTTTTTAATTAAAATTTTATAAATGTCATTTAACGTTGGTTGAATAAACTTCACTTTTAGGTGACCGATTTGCAACGCAAAGGCAAACGGAGATGTAAAATTCCTGATCTTCAGAAATATGAAAATAAAGAAAAATGTAAATGTACTGAATACGATTCTGAATGGTTTGTCTTTTATTATTTATCATAATCTAACAACTTTTAAATGGCGATTTATCTAATATTGAATCCAAATAACTATTTCATTAGTGATAGTTATTTGCGTGAAGATGGTAAATGCAAATTTGAAGGAGTAGATTTAACAGAAAAAATAAATAAAAATTTCAGTGAGACAGGTATACGTTTATAACAAATTTAAATTGAAGTTTATCAAGCTTACCGTATATTAATTTATTTATCTATTCTTAGATAATGATGATATTATTACAAAAACGGTATTTATTTAATTTAATTTAAATTCTATGTTCGTTTATTACAAGTCTATAAAACTAATATTTTTTCAGAATATCTTCGAATCTCCAATTACGGATTACCTTTATTTTACGAGTACAGACACAATCCTCATTCGCGTAAATAATCAAGTTTGGAAGAGTACAGATCAAGGATCTTCATGGGCACACATTGACGGGCTCAACGATGTTCTTGCAATGTTCAAAAATCCTTATTTTAATGATGATGTATGTGATCTAAAGCTTTTTCCTGATTCAATACTTATATATCATTTAACTTAAATGTCCATTCGTTTTCATTTTTTAGGCATACTTCATAAAGCTTTCTAATACTTTACATTATACAACCGATTCTGCTAAAAGTATTAAAAATATAAGTGTAGACTTGAAGCCCAACATTCTTGGCATACCAGTTCTCGATTTTCATCCAACATATCGTGATTGGCTTATTTATACAGCGAGCGACGGATGTGAAAGTAATTGCCACTCAGTTGTATGTATATATATAATCGTGTATAATAAGTATTTCAAAGTTTTTTTGTAATTTATTTATACTATTTATTTAGGTTTATTATACTAAAAATAATGGTGACCATTGGAGCCAACTGGATACATATTCTAGAATTTGTACATGGGCACGTGATAGAAAATTTAATGTCAATGAAAATCTTATATTTTGTGAATCTTATTTGAAGAAAACTGGGTCGCAAAAGTCATTTTACGATAATCCGCTTCAACTTTGGTCAACAAGAGATTTTGGAGCAAATATAAATATACTATTTCGCAATATTATCGGATTTGCTACATTTGAAGATTTTATGGTGGTTGCTGAGGTATGAAATTCTACAAAATTTATATATTGTTGCAAACTGAAAAGATGCTATATATGTGTTTTGCCCATATGATGGGTGTGTTTTAAAATCAACTTAATTTGTGCAAATTTCTCTTTAACAATATTTCTTTACTGTCTTATCAAATTATAGTCACTTCCTAATCAGAAACTTCAACTTTCGGCATCTATGGATGGAGAAAATTTTGCAAAAACACAGTATCCACCTAACATGAATGTACAAGATGTAAGTATTATAATATTTAATGTGATTTTCTCATTAAATAAATAATCCGAGTCCAATGATAAAATTTTACTTACATTTATTTGATTTGCGCACAAATACTTTTTAAGGCATATACGGTTTTAGAATCTACGACTGGTTCTATCATATTACATGCAACAACATCTTCTCGTAATCTGTGGGGAAATATAATGAAATCAAATTATAATGGAACTTATTATACTCTTTCTCTGAAAAATGTCAATCGTGATGACAGGGGCTTCGTTGATTTTGAAAAAATGCAAGGGATAGAAGGAATTGCCCTAGCTAATGTAGTTAGCAACACTAATGAAATAATCATTGGTGGATCGGTTAAAAAACTTCAATCAAGAATTACATTTAATGATGGTAACTAATAAATTAAGAATACTGCTTTGATGTACTAAGCTTTTTATAAATTAATATCTTTATAACAATTCTAGGTGGCACGTGGCGAAAGTTGACTCCACCCACAAAGGATTCAGAAGGCGAGCCATATAATAATTGTATTGTAAGTAATTATAATTTCTCATTATTCACACTTTTTTTATTAGCATAATTAATTTAACTGATATTCATGGTTTATTAGGGTTGCACCTTACACCTTCATAGTTATACGGAACGGAGAGATCCCCGAGACACTTTTAGCTCCTCTTCAGCTGTAGGATTAATGATTGGTGTAGGCAATGTTGGAGATTATCTCTCTCCTTACTCGGATGGCGATACATTCTTGACCCGAGATGGTGGTGTCACATGGACTGAAGTTAAAAAAGGTGCATATATGTATGGATTTGGAGCTCAAGGTTCTATTCTGGTTTTAGTAGATGATGAAGCTCCCACAAATCATATTTTGTAAGTTTTTTTTTTTTTTAAAAAAAAATTTTTAAATATAATGCTTTAATGTTATCTAATTCTTTGTAACTATTAGTTATTCTTTCAATGAGGGCAAAACTTGGACAAAACATGAGTTCACAACAGATAAACCTATTAAAGTCCATGACATCTTAACACATCCTAACGGTACTAAAAAGGAATTCCTTTTGCGAGGACGTTATAAAGGCGATCATGATAGTGAAGTGGTGGTTTATCTCAACTTTGCTCCCAAGTTGACCGAGAAATGTATTGAAATTTTCTTAAATCATTCTGATAAAGCAATTTTATCAAATTATGCTAATTACTGATAAGAATGCTCAAATTTTATCTTTTAAACAGGTAAACTTGATGATGATTTTAACTTATGGACACCTAAACATCCGGAACATACACATGAATGTTTGTTCGGCCACACGGTACACTTCATATATCCACAAATAAATTTATTGATCTTTTATTTATTGACTAAAAACCTATTCAACATTTAAAAGGCGAGTTATTACCAGAGGAACCTTAAACGTGATTGTTATATTGATGAAGACTTTACGCAATCGAAAAAAATTGAGAAAAACTGCACATGCGATGAATACGACTTTGAATGGTGAGAATAAATCTTACCTTACTTTGTTTTTTATGTTGGCCATTTAAAATAATTCATTTTAAATGATAATTTTCAGTGACTTCAACTATGTTCGAGATAAAAATAAGAGTTGCACATTGGTTTCTAATCACACACCTTTACAACTAACTATTCAAGAAATGTGTGCTAATGGTGCGAAAGTTTGGTACAATGGATCCGGGTAAGTTTTATCGTTTTAAACTTTACTGCATTGAGTTTATTAATAAGAAAGTTAAATGCCTTTTAGCTACCGTAAAATTCCTATTTCGACATGCTCTGGTGGCGAAGAAGCTTACTTAGGCGAACCTCATTGGTGTCCTAGTGAAGGTTATTCTGCCACTAATTTGATTATCTTCATGGTTGTTGTTTTTGGAGCTATCATTGCATGTTGCATGTTTAGGAAGCGCAATCGATACTCATATTTATCTCAAGGGTTGGTATTATTTTTTTTATTCTAGTCGAATGTACATTTCTATTTATTATGTGCATTAATAATATTTATGTATTTACTTGATTTTTAAAAAATAGACGCATTCGTCTTGGAGATCCTATGACAGATTCTCAATCATTTCTGTCAAATATGCTTGAATCATTTATGGACATTATTTCACAAATCCTTTCAAAGATTTCTTTACCAAGATCTAGCAGCAGATATAGATATAGACCCGTATCTCAAGATGATCCTAATGATGTTTTGTTAAACGAATATGATGATGATAATCAAGAGTTGTAAATTTATTTTTCCTTTATTCATTCTATTGAGTGTAAGAAATATTAATTTGTGTAATTTTATTTTTAATTAAAATTGAACAAGAAAAAATGTGCAAAAACTCATTTTTATTATCAGTTTATATTAGTGATGTTAATAATGGGAATTGATTTTGCTACCCCCATGTGTAAATTTGTCTTTCGTATCTTCGTCATTTATGAAACTTTGATAACCTAGAAGCATTATTACATCTGAAACCGAAACATTATGTGCAGATAAAATAATTAGAAGTGTGTCAGAATCCTCGCTGACCAATGGATCTGACAGTTAATGTCGAATGCATAACCAACGAAGTGCATTCGAAAAAAATTTTGAAGAAATTTTTTACCAAATCAGCCTATATTATCAATTATAATGTTTTATATTTTACCAAGAAAAAGAAAAAACGAAATTCAAAGTTACTAATCTTCTACCTTTTTAATATAATTGGAAGTGCTTATTATTTCTTGGTACTCTTTATTTAAAAAAATATATATATATTCAACACAGTCGTTTATTTTATTGTCAATAAAATATATTCCATTCCATATTCTTGGAAGACCCTTCAATTTCTTGATATCAATTATCATTTTTTGAATCAGTATTAACTTTGGCTCAATATTTTTTCAACCATTTTTTTTGTTGCAAAAGATCTAAAGACTTTTTAAGATTATATGTCTGAATATGTATAACAACTTTTATGTGAGTAAAATAATAATAATTGTGGGTGATTATGATGAAAATGGATTATGCTAAAAATTTTCGGGTTTACTAAAATGCACCATAGGTGTTAACACCATAGTTGCTATATCGCAAAAACGTACTAGCTAACACATCTCTGGGGTATTAAGTAAAAATGTTCAGCGCCCCCAAAAACCTTATGCTAACTAAAATTTGGACCTTTATATCTAACCTCTATCTTGCTCTAAAGTTGCACCCTAACCCTAAATTTTAGCCAAAAACATATTAACACCAACAACACCTATGGTACATTTTATAATTATTGAAATTTTTTCATATTTTATTATAAAATTGTAAAATTTTTTAGAGCCTTTTTTGTGGTTTTTTTTTCATAGTTAGGTTAGAGTTAGATAGTAGTATTTATTAATAAAAAAGTATGTGAATTTTAGTAGGTTTTATAGATTTAAAAAAAAACCACAATTTTTAGCATAATCTATTTTCAGTATAATCCTTCACAATAATATTTATTCTCAAGATAATCTGCTAGAGCTTTCTGTCTGGCCAATCTAGAATTCAAATAGTTCAGAAAAGATACCAGTTTTCTGATATTTGCATTGCAAATCTTTTTTTTGGTTGATTTTAGTGATCTGGTTGGTGAGATAACTTAGTTCTTGTTTAGTTATACCAATCTTGAGTATAGCTTATTTAGTAGTATTGTCAAAAGTTTGTAATATTCTTAGAATTTCAATTCATTAAGTATTTATCCAGATAATTATCAGATATCCATTATCTGTTATCTGAAGTATCTAATCTAAATTTATTTGAATATCCATTTACTATTAATATTTAAATAATTATCTGAATATTTATCAGATTATCCAGATATCTGTTCTGTTTATCTGATCTGGGTTATTTGGATAATTCAAATACAGATAAATAGATGATAGATTTATCCAGATTGGAACTTTAGCTATTCTTTACTTAGAGCTTGTTAAACAAGTATTTTTGTATTAGTTCTATAGTTTTTTACAATCTTAAAGACTTATCGAGGGTTGTTCTGATACTAGCATATATTTTATATAATTTTTATATTATACAAATATCTTGAAATCTTCTAATTCTGGTTTATAACTTTAAAAAGAACTCTACTATTACTTGGTATAACTATAGTTACAAGGTTTTAAGTTTTTCTAGTCACAATAATAGTTGTTAAATCTATTTTTTTAAATTTAATTTTTATTTTTTGTAAAAATTGAACTTGTACTTAACTACTTGGAGATGCAACAACTTGATCATTCACTAAGTTGTCATATTTTTTTTACTTTTAATAAGATCAATTCTTTATTACAACTATATATATTTATTACATTCTTATTATTTTAATTTTGGTTAAAAAAATACTTTTAAAGCAAATATTTATAATTTTTAATCTAGATAAAAACATATTTTATAGTTTATTAATTACTTTTTTAAACAAATATTTTATAAGTTAGATATAGAAATATTAGTATTGTCTAAACTAGAAATACAAAAATATTAGTGCTATCTTGTCTTTTAAAACTTATTTATATAATTTATAATAATTAGAATTTTTTGTAATAATGCCAACTTCTCTATATCTTGAGTTTTTTTCTAAGAATTACTATTTTTAGTTATATACTGTATTTAAACTTAGCTACAAGATTTTATATTTAATTTAGTATTTAAAGATTACAAAACAAATATTAATTTGTCTTTAATATAACTTAAACTATTGACTTTGTTTATAGAATTTAATAGCTTAACTAATAAGCTATAAGATCTAAATTTTTATTATATTATATTATTATTTTTTTTCACTTAGGCTGTCTTGCTAGTGAACCTTTATTAAGATTATTTAGTTACAGGTATGACAAAATGTTTAGCTTAGTATTTAGCCCTGATATCTTGCAGTTATTGCAAGAGTACTTACAAGTAACTAGCTATAATAGAATGATCTTTTTACAGTATAAGAGACATTTGTGATCAAAATCATTATGACTTAAAAAACCTTTGGCAGACCACTACTCTATAATAGGATACTACCAATTTAATGATATCTTCTTATAGAGAAGTGAAAAAACAAAAAAATATTAATACTAATATTAATACTAAAAAAGAAAAAAAAATAAAAACTGATCTAATTGCAAGACTTTTTTTAATGATCACTTGAACCAACTAGTACCAAAAGCAAGTTGAAGACTTAAGTCAGAAGTTAACAACAACTTGAAGTTTTCTTGATACAAACTGTTATTAATGAAGTCTTTAAATATAATATACTAAAGAGTGGACATTTTGAACAGTTTGCAAAGAGGTCAAGCCTCGTTTGCTTTCTTTCTGAATGTACTCCTTTTTGTATTTAGCATCCAAATCAGAGGAGTCTTTGGGAACAGCAAGTAGAAAAGAAAACTTAGAAAGTTTGAAGATAGAAGAACACAATAAACACTTGAAAAAACTCTTTTTAGTTGAAAACTTATAAACCCAAAATTTTCCTCATCGCTTTGATACTTCCAAAACTAATTTTTTGACAAAAAGTAGGAGATTTGACTACCTCCTGTCAAAAGATCAGTATTGTTTACCACTTCTATATTCAGCAACTCTGTGACATGAACACAACAAACATGTGGCTACATAGGAAAGCATTTATTCCTTATTTGGGAGCGTGACCCTATATATTAATGATTCAAAAAGTTTTTAAGGATTTATATATCAAGTAGATAAAGCAAGATAGTGAGAACATATAGAGTCGATATATTTGTTATACTTTGGAATAGAATATGGATTTATTAGTTGAGACGATAAAGAGAATATAAAATATGCAGTCTAACAATAAAGTCATATGCATATAATTTTAGCCCTTGACAGGTAAAATACAGTTAGTTTAGTTTTTTTATGTTAGTTAAGTTCTATATAATTACTACAATCATATAGATGAGTATCCTAGTTAGCAGATACTAATTTGTTAGTTAGGTTCTTTAGTTTTGTATTGTATTGTTTTTTTTTCTCACATTTTTTTAATGTATTTGCTTTCTTATATATTCTTTTTTTTAAATATCTCCTTTCTTATATTCTCTTTACCTTATTTTGCTTTTTAAACTTTTTTCGTTAAAGAATTTTTTATCAGATTGGTGATATATTATATAGGGCAGTAATCTTGACAAAATCAGTAGGCATCTACTATAGACTCTTGGGGTTTAAATTCTCAGTAAGTAGATAAAGATAAACCATTTAGGCAGATCATATCTAGGTCTTTCTTGCTGAATCTATTTATAGATTCTTGTTAATAGATTGAGTGATTCTTTATTCATACAGACATATATAGATTTATAGATAGATTAGTCTCTACAAGATAATTTTACACTGATTTTAATAATAAAAAAGAATTGTTGAAATGAAAAAAAAAAAAAACTAATACTAAAAACAAAAACAAAGATGAAAGATAGAGAAAAAAAGAAAAATAATCTGATAGTTACAATTATAAGCTTGTATCCAGGCCTTAAAAAATTACATATTACAAGATAATAGTCAACCGATTTGTTATAGTATAAATTTTTATATATATAAAAATAAAGCAAAAACATATAGAATTATATATAAACTTTGAAGCTATGATGTTTTTTCCCTTATATATTAACTTTAAATTAAATTTTATAAATAAATACATCAAGAAAAGGTGAATAAAATACTTTATAATTCAAATTAAAATTTTGTAATTTTGATATAATTTAAAAATATAACTCTGCCAAAAGAAAAAATTTAACAGTTTTAAAGTAAGAAATATATATAAAATTATACTCTAAAAACTTCAGTTAGGCAATAAAAAAGGTTATCTTAATAAGAAAAAAGTTTGCTATATACTAATATTAAAATTTTCAGTTTTTCTATATAAAACTTTTTTTTTGTTTAGATAACCTGTTCTGACCTTTTAAGAAAATTTGTTCAGCATATAATTCTATATATTTTATAATTTGCTAATTTTGATTTTTTGAACTTTACTAAGTGAAAGATTGAATTAAAGGTTATATGAAAAAAAATTTTTAATTTTTTTAGGATTTAAAAATTTATTGCATATGTAATATATTTTTTTTTTACTTTTTTTTAAATTTTTTTTTACTTCAACAATCTTTTCTTTATTTTTTAAATCAGCAGTATCTTACAACAAGATATCTCAGTTAGCTAAACCTACATTATCTATAAGAAATACTTTATGTCTGTACAAATAAAAAATCTCTTGATCCATCTTGTTATCACAATAAAAATAGAGTAAACCCCAAATTTATGCTAGA